AAACTCCAGTCAGGTTGTTTTACAGTAACAACAGTGGAGCTGCATCCCATAATTCCTGTTTTTGATTGGACGCACTGAGTGATATTTAACAATTAAGATTAAATGCACAATGATGCTTATCACTGAAAACTGCACTTGTCTAAACCGTCATTATCGCTTAACGTCATGAGTAAAATTACAGTTCAAGTGAATGACGGTGTCAGAAGTTCATTGCTTCCATGCTTTTGTTTACTACAGTTGAATTTGAAGTTTGAGATTGAAGTTCTGTGTAAGAACTTATCTTTGGACATCAACGAGCTGAAGCCAGGAACCCTGCTGAAGGACAAGGAGAAGCTAAAGAACCTCGAGGAGCAGCTATCGGCACCAAAGAAGGAGGCAAAACCTCCAGAGGAGATGCTGCCAGTCTCTACTGCAGGTGATCATGTTATTCCTCTTTAATTGTCTTTGTAGTTTAAACATATCAAATGTTTGTTTTTGTCATGTAGAAACAAAATGCATTACTTCTGTCATGTTGGGGACATCACTTGTCCTGTGAGAACACTTTAAGAAGCTCGTTGGTTTTTGTGTGCTTGCTGTTTGTTTTGCCTTTTCTTGTGAGTTTTTTAACCAACTTAACATTTTCAACCAACAGGAGACTTTGTTCCATTTGCAGCTCCTCCCTCCACCCCAGCTGCAACCACCACCACCTGTACAACGACCGGACCGCCCACCCCGCAGTTTAGTTACCATGACATCAATGTGTATGCGTTGGCAGGCCTGGCTCCCCACATCAATATAAACGTCAACGTAAGTATAAAGACTGCGTCATGATTTTCACGTCTGAGCAGAGTTGTAGACTTTCACAGGAGTCTATACACTTCAGCGAGGCGCACATGAAGCCCTCAGGGACCTGATGACACTGAGAGTAATCATTAAACTAATTAATGAGTAATATTTCATGTGTTTGGATCTCTTCTGAGTTGTTTCTCATTCTTGGGCTGCTCTTTTGTTTTCTTAGATCCCTCTGCTGCAGGCTCATCCTCAGCTAAAGCAATGTGTGCGTCAGTCAGTGGAGCGTGCCGTCCAGGAGCTGGTGCACCCTGTGGTCGATCGCTCTATCAAAATCGCAATGACGACCTGTGAGCAGATCATCAGGAAGGACTTCGCTCTGGATTCTGAAGAGTCCCGCATGCGTGTGGCCGCGCACCATATGATGAGAAACCTGACTGCCGGCATGGCCATGATCACCTGCCGTGAGCCTCTGCTCATGAGCATCGCCACCAACCTTAAGAATAGCTTTGCTGCAGCTCTGAGGGTAAGGCCTCCACGAGGGTGTGTCTTTAAATGGCTAGCTTACAGAAGAAAGAGGAAAAGCGTCAAATAACAAACTTGTTTTCCTTTTAGGCACCAACACCCCAACAGAGGGACATGATGGAAGAGGCTGCAGCCAGAATTGCTCAAGACAACTGTGAACTTGCTTGCTGTTTCATTCAGAAAACAGCAGTGGAGAAGGCCGGCCCTGAAATGGACAAGAGACTAGCCAC